GTTATTCTTAAAGGGGTTGCCACACATCTTGCTCCTCTTTATAGTGTGGGCTTGAGATGCTCAATAAAGGAGGAGTTACAGGGGGGCTTTAACCATTTGCTTTCTGTCAAGAGTAGCCCCTCATGGCTCCCTCTGCCATGTTCAAGTTAGACCTGCTTAGCCATGATGGGAGCTTGAGTGCGAGATAAGCAACTGCAAAGAATTGTGTGTGAACCAAGGTCATATAGTACCTGGCTCTTCATGAGAATGGGATGTGAAAGGAAGAGGGAGGTGAATCTGGAGGGTATAGAAGCGAAACTTGGCTCTAGCAAAGGATGTGCTACTGGGGTGATTTTTTTCAATTACTAATTCTTTCCAGTTTCCTCCATGAAATGTACTTGCTATTGCTATTGAAGTGTGTTAACCAATGTTTCCCAAACTTTGGTCCTCCAGATACTTTGGACTTCAGCTCCAGAAGCCCTAGCCATTGTGGCCAACAATCAGGAATTCTGGGAGCTGACGTCCAAAACATCTGGGAGGACCAAAGTTTGGAAGCCACTGAGTTAGACAGAGACAGGGCATTAAGCTCTCTGTTACAGTACAGAATCAGATTAGGGTTCCCACCCACAACTGCTGTTTGCATCAAGAGGGAAATTTCTTCTCCATGCAAGTATCCATGCAAGTGCATGATCTGATCAGGATCATTCAAGGGAGTGCGAGGTATAAATCCACCTATCCCTCACAGCATCTCAGACGGGTCTCCTGTGCCTCCGGTCTACATTTTAAAAATATGTATGCAATGCAATTCATTCATGATGTGTGGTTATAACTATGGCTGCATCTGCACTGCAGAAATAATGTAGTTTGACACTGCTTAAACTGCCTCAGATCAGGTCAATGCAAATGAATTCTGGGATTTGTAGTTTTGTGAGATAATTAGCCTTCTCTGTCACAAAATACAAATCCCAAGATTTCAACTGAGCCATGGCAGTTAAAGCAGTGTCAAACTGCATTATTTCTGCAGCAGAGATGCAGCCTTAGTTGTATCTGAGGGTTTTAATAATGCAATATGGTAAGCTGCTTAAGGGGGTTGTAAGAAAGAGGAGTCTAGAAATGTCTCTAAGTAAATAAAACAAAACTGATAACTGTGAGAATAGTATAGTCTAGCTTGGTCTTTAATTACATGGTGTTTGAAAGCTGAACGTCAGAACACTTGCTACAGAAGACTTTCCTGCCTCAACCCCAAAAACAAGGGCAATTCTGCCATTTTCTCACCTTCAGGTCCTCGTTCCAGAACTGATCACACCTCTTTTTCCCTTCACTCATCATGTTTTCCAGTCGGGATCTTTCCTTCAGCAACTCAGCTGCTGGCTGCTCACAAGCCTTCTCAATGTTGCTGATCAAATTGTTGAGATGGTCTATTTCTCTGGTGCATTTGCTGGTAGATTCCTCCACCTTCTTTGTGAGGTCAGTTTGAAAGGCATCCAGATAGGGCAGCAAGAACTGCACTTGCTGCTTCAAAAACTGATAGAACTGTTCAACCTCAGCCGACAAATTGTCTTTCACATCTCCTATCTTTGGATAACAGAAAGAAACAATCAAGCAAGGAGCCAGGAAAAGAATACCACCTAGCCCTTCACAGCTCTCAGTGCTCTTCACAGACAAAGCAGATTATACATTTCAAACTGCAGAAAGCTACTAATTTTGGGCCTCATTCCCACTACATTTTAAACCAGTTTGCAAACAGGTTTGAAGCAGTTTAAATGACCCTGGTTCGCACTTGAACCAAATTGCTGAAGCGGTTTGGAGAGGGGGCCCAAGCACTAGACCCATTAACGCACATCTTTTTGACACTGACTTTTTTTCCGCGTCTTTTTCGATAAATCGATTCTGCACAAGTGTGAACCAGATGCAGATTGGATTCGATTTAAATTTGCCATTTGGCCAACTGAAGTGAGTCCATTTTAAATCGATTCATTCATCAACGTGAACCACAAGTGGGTTATTTTACAGCAAGAAAATGTGATCAGGGCAAATGTAGTGTGAACCACGCTCTGCTGTCGAACCGATCCATCGATTCGGATCGCAAACCAATTCATTTGTACGTGGGAATCAGGCCATGTAGGGGAGCTTGTATTTTCAAACTGAGAAATCAATATGTTCATAGTCTTTCCTCCTCTCAGTAAGCCCAGAGGCAATTCCAACCTAACGCCAATAGCTCTACCTGATAAAACCTGCTTATGAGTCTCCAGTCACTTCTTCCAGAGACCTGTAGTTTGATAAATTACTTACAATTTTCAGCAGTTAAGAAAATGTCAGAAGGAAGAATGTATCTGCACTGCATTGATACTTTCATTGGGCAAACCAAAAGATGCAAAATACATTATGCTAGGTTTTGATGCTCACAGGCTTCTTCAGCAAGCACAAGATTTTAAAAATATTAATCTGAAGATACTGAGTCTAGCCACAAACAGGGGAATCCTACTGGTGAAGAAGCAGACTTTCTGTCATCATACTCTGGAAACTGTTTTCTGTGTGTTTAACCCAGGGGTAGGCAACCTTTTTGAGCCGGGGGCCGGGTTGATGTCCCTCAGACAATTGGGGGGCCGAAGCACCAAAAATAAATAAATAAATAAATAAATAAATAAATAAATAAATAAATATATTTTTAAAAATTAAAAAATTAAAAAATATGCATGCACACTCTCTCAGTCCCAGAAAAGCCATGGCAAACACCCTGTGGAGATTTTGCCAAGAAAACCCCAAGAACAAGTAATAACAATAATAATCAATATCATCATGGTGGGTGGCTGGGGGCGGCAAAACCGGCCTGGGGCCAGTCCAAAGGCCTTGGGGGCCGCATCTGGCCCCCGGGCCTTAGGTTGCCTACCCCTGGTTTAACCCATAGCTCTGATTTGGCTCCAGTTGATAGTGTTACGGCAGAAATCAGTAGTTGAAAATCTTCCCCAAAGACAAAGACAGCAAACCAGAAGTTCGAAGCTCAGATGCCGTTTAATTTGCTAGCAAAGACTGTCCTCTGGATCACTCCAAAAAGGGGACAGCCCCGAAGGTGGACTAACAGCTGAGTTTTATTCACAGAAACCACAAAGGGTCATTCTGACCTAGACAATGTACAGCCTGTCTCACATCCTTATTTCCTGCAATTCCAACCAGCTTGCCAAGTAAATTCTAAATTTATTCTTATCACAGTCTCAACAACATCCTTATTGCTATCTCAGAAGAAAGGATGTATTCACTCGTCTCTCCCCCTCCCTCATGCATTTCCCTCTGTTTGACCCCGAAAACATTTCCCTCTGTCTGACCCTGAAAACAGATCTTTCTTCATACAGTTCAAACTGCAGTCAAGCCATCTCTTTATAAAATCAGCTTTAAGCCTTTAATTTTCTTTTGCTATTATTGATTACCTATAGCCTATATATTAGCAACCTTTTACTCTATCAATAGGCTCTGCAATTTCAATGCCCAGATTTTTCTCCATACTTGAAAATATAGAGACTTTCCTTGTAAAATGGGGAGTACATTTGACTGTCCATATCCACAGATTCTTTATCCATGGATTTTACCATCTACGACTTGAAAATATATTAAGAGAAATAAATAAATTCTATAAACCAAAGCTTGATTTTGCCATTTTGTATTAGGGACCCCATTTTACTATGCCAGTGTAGTTAATTGGACTTGAGCATCCATGGATTTTGTTATCCTTGGGGGGTCCTGGAACTAAACCCCAATGGATACCAAAGACTCACTATACGATCTTCCATCATGGGAGTCTTCTATAGTTTTATACTGGACAGATGCAAATATAGACCTCAGAAAGCAAGTGCTTTGTACTTCAAAGAGAGAAGCCAAACTTTACTAACTCTGTCTTATTGCCTTTGATCCCATTGAAATTATGGACATAAGCGGAAAGGGGATGGGTTCCTTACGTCCACACATACTTCCTACAGCATCATAACCTAAAATATAGACACCATGACTACAACAATGTCACACTGTTTCCCTTGTATGTTTTTTACCATCTAGCTTTCACCTAATGTTTAAGCCGGTGAAGTTTTGAAATCTGGTTTGATATATTTTGCACCTTTCAGCTGCCCCAATAAATGTAGCACTACATGATAGATGTTGTATTTTGTTAGTTTTTGCTTTAAGGCCAACACAGCTGCCCTGAAACATTCTACACAGCATAGTTATAACAGTTTGATGCCACTTTAACTGTCATGGCTCTGTCCTACAGAAACCAGGGATTCGTAGTTTGGTTGAAATATTTATAATTCCCTGTCGGAGGTCTCTATAGTGTTATAGTTCAGAATGAGATATATCTTTCTACTAATAAATCCTAAATACACAAACTACAAATCCTAGCATCCCCTAGGCTAGAGCCATGGCATTAAAATTGTTTCAAATATCTATGTTGTATATTCACATCAAAGACCTCAAAGGAAATTTATCTTATGGCCAGGAAGGTTATCCTTGCTTTTTCCACCTTGTAAACAGGAGAAGGGCTTTCTCAGCAATTAACTGCAGGTGAAGATCTATTTATGTCAAAATGATTATTAAATGGAGGTTATCAAGCTGCATGTCTCCCTCCAAATCATGGAAAAA